CACTGAGGCTTGGGCCGGGAGAGCTTTAGGTCACACAGCTAGAGCCATGAATCACAGATAGTAGCACCCCACCCTCATCTCCTCCTATATTACCTGACTCCATACAGAATTGAGTGTAACCTGACACAGGACCCCTGGGCCACAGATGAACCAGCATGATTTGGTGGGTTTTAGATGAAATCACACACACACACACACACACACACACACACATTCTGTCACACACAAGCACATACTTATACACACATTCATACACACACATACACTCACATACGTATACTCAAATGCACCCACACATACTTATACACGTACAATCACACAAACATATACACTTACATCACACAGTTTCATGCACATACACACATACATTCCACTCACACTCTCACACATGTGCACACACACATTTATGTACACACACATTCTCTCACTCATGCACATGCATTCTCTACACACACACACACACACACACACACACACACACACACATTCATACCTTGTCCTTTTTGCCTGGCTGGTCTCTGCTCTGCTTTTTCTTGATTGTGGACAGTCTAGTATGTGTCAGCTGTAATGTGCCTGCCCTCTGTGCACTGTCCCAGTTCACTGTGGTCAGCACTGGAGAAGGCTGCTTGCCTTTGAAGAGATATGCCCATGGTCCACTCTGCCTTGTCCCCAGGAGACCAGGGCATGTGCTCCATCCAGTCAGCCAGATATTCTCTGACTCTGTTACCTTGGACACATCTGGCCACCTTAGTGCACCCTAGTCTTACTCATAGTAAGGCGGGTAGTGGACTGGCACTGGGGATCCAGGAGGATAGTTAGGGATGTTTCTCCCAGGATGACTAAAGGAAGCCGTTTGCCAGGCACCCAAGTTCCTCCCTGGCTCCTTAATCCCAACATAATGTGTGCTTATTAGAAGGATGGCCCATCTCCTCCCCCAATGAAGAACTTGGGGCTATTGACTGATATTTACTAGCCTGAGTTCATGGTCATGTATCCCATGTGATTCACCCTGCACCTGCTGGGGGGAGTGGAAACAAACAGGAACCTCAACTGCAGGTCTGAGAACAGGTTAGTTCCCAGAATTTCCTTCTTCCTTTCATTCTTGCTGTAGGGCTTGGGGGAAGAAAGAGCAGGGTCAGGGGCAGTAGCCACTCTAGAACTAAATGCCTGCCCTCTCAGCTTTCCTGGATAGATGCAGCAAAGGTCAGTTAATTTACTTTGAGGTCTGTCCCACAGTGTCTCCAAGCATCATGTTTGTGTATGTGCCTTGGAATACTTAAACAGCCAGTAATCCTCAGAGAGGGCCCAGGATCCGCTGGCCTTTTGGGTGCTGATAAGCCCACTGTATGATTCTAGGCAGACAGGAAGGAGTCAGTCAGTTCTCCTGAGGCTCCTACAAATGACATTGATAAAAAATATGAGCAGTCCCTGACTTAGGATGGTTCAATTTAGGATTTTCACCTTTATGATGGTGTGAAAGCAACACACCTTTGATAGAAACCATACTTCAAATTTTCACTTTTGAATTTTGAGCATTTCCTGAGCTAGCCCCCTAAGTGGCAATAAGCATCATGCTTAGTCAGCCTGTGAACAGGAGGAAACAACCAATCCTCTCCAGTGAGCTGTGTCGCTAAGCTGGGATGCGCAGTAGGAAGGGTACACTTGAATGCGTTTTCGGCTTATGATACATCTCAGCTCATAGTATAGGGAACCATTGTAAATCAAGAAGCTTCTGTTGTTTTACATAGCATTTTCACATTTTTCCTTCTTCAGAACTCCCTGAAACCCTGGGATGACACGATCCCTAGAGACAGATGAGGGCATGGATCTTTGGATAGAGCAGGGACCTACCTGAAGCCAAGATCTTGCTCCAGATCCCAGATTTCAGTCCAGCACCACTGTTTCTTCTGCAGCTGCAGGTGGACATACAGGCTTCAGATCCAACGAGCTGCTTCATGGGGAAGTAGCTCCCAACTCACCCTCCCCCGCGCCCTTCACAGCTACCAGGGTGGGCTGGGGAGGTACAGACAGGTCTTTAGACCCCAGTGGCTAAGAGCCACAGGGTACTTTGGCTTTTCTGAAGCCTCAGGCCTGGGAATAGGCATTTGGAACTGAGAGCAGATTGCCACCAGCTTGAGGGAGAGAAAGCTGGAATCTGATGTTCCTACAGCACCTTGAGATTCCAGTCCAGCTGTGCAGCACCCCATTAACTGAGAGGCAGGGATGCAGGAACAGGGAGTCCTAGGAGGGAGGAAAACATTTTGTCCTGGAGCCCTCTCCATCTGTGCAAGACAGGAAATTCCTTAACTCTCCTGAGGCAGTCAGCTTTACTGACTGCAGCAGCCCAGGCAGGGACATGAGGTAGATTTGTGTATTTCCAATCCTGGACCCCTAAGTCCACCCCCAGAACCTCCTCCATCAAGACCCAGAGCTGCCCTCTATCAAAACGCAATTCCTGAGTTTTGGGGACAGGGATGGACCGATGGATGGACCGGGGACAGACGACTGAGAACCCCATCTAGTGGCCAGAGGCAGGGTGGAGCTGCTCTTACATGCTGGCTCCAAGCCCTCCTGGCTACACCTGCTCTAGGGAAGCTTCCTTGAGCCCCTGGGGATTCCTTAGGCCTTCTGCTTCCACAGTCCCTGAGGCTGAGCTGGGTGAGCTTTTCTTTCTGTAGTCACAGTAAATATTAAGTAACACGTTTTTGAGTTAGGCCTTACACAGGTCAGGAAAACACTTGAAAACTATCTCCAGAGTTCTAGCTTCTAGAAGAAGATTTGGAATTTGTTTCCCTGTGATGGAGATCCAAAATAGCAGAGTGCCTCTGCCCTGAAACTGAGAGATAGCCTAGCTGTATTAGTCTGTTTTCTGTTGTTGTAACAAAATACCTGAGGATAGATAATTTGTAAAGAAAAGACATTTATTTTAGTTACTAGTTCAGTTTAGTTCAGGTTCTCATAAGACCTTCACACTGCATCTTATGGTTGAAAAGCAGGAAGGAGAAGTGGGTATGTGTAAGAGTGTATGCTCCAGACATACCAAAGCAGGTACCAGGCTCACTTTAGAACAACCTGCTATCATATTAACTAATCCAGTCCCATGAGACACAACTCAGTCTTGAGAAAATTTAGTTAGTATTCAGAGAACCTTACCCAACTCTTGAGAAAGGCTTTAATCCCTTCACAGGGTGGTAGCCCCATGACCTAATCACCTCTCAGAGGATCCCCTTCCAATGCCTCCATATTGAGAATCAAATTTCATTATAATGGGATGGGGTTGTGGTAGAGCCCTTGCCTAGCTCACCAGGTCCTGAGTTTTTAGCCCCAGTACTACAAACAAACAAAATAATAATAATTTTTTTGTTCAACATGAGTTTTAGCAGCTGCAAACTATATTCAACCCACAGCACTAGCCCTGATGTTAAGTCCTATTGCCAGAAACCACAATAGCTAAAAGTTACAGGGGAGGATGGGCACTGGGCAGCTTAGGGCTGGGCCTGCATGCAACCCAGACAACACTTTATTTCCTGAGACCGACTGAAGCCTCTGAGTAAGGGAGGATGCCAAGAGAGCTGAGTGGGAGGGAGTGGACCAGGCCTGTACCCAGAGAGCTGCCCTGGTCCTCATCCTTTGCTAGCTGGTACGTTACTGCCCTCCCTCCTCAGATTTTGCTGAGGCATTATCAAAGTATAGTAAGCTACATGCATTTTAGGTGTTTAACTTAACAAGTTTTGACATATATTTTTATATCCATGAAACTTTCACCCTGACTAAAAAATGAACATCTGTCACCCTCAGGCATGTCCTCTAATCCATCTCCCAGGTACAGGCACCCACCAATCTGATCTGCATTCTGTCTCTGTCCTTTCATGTCCTCTAATCCATCTCCCAGGTACAGGCACCCACCAATCTGATCTGCATTCTGTCTCTGTCCTTTGCTCTTTGGTGTGTGTGTGTGTGTGTGTGTGTGTGTGTGTGTGTGTGTGTGTGACTGTGGGTTGAATCCAGGGCCTTTCTTCATATAGGGTAGGCTACTTCTCAACCACTGAACTATTATTCTCCAGCTCTATTGTTTTGTTTTGTTTGAGTCAGGGTCTGGCTATGTGGCCCAAGATGTCCTCAGACCCACCATTGTCCTGCATCAGGATTATAATGGTTTGAAGTATAGCTTGGTCATAGAGTGTGTACTTGGCTCATGTGAGATCCTGGATTTGATACTCAGCATCAAAAGAGGAAGAAGAAGAATTGATCTATTTACTGTGTGTGTTGTATACATTGTATACATAAATCATGTCTGGCAAGATGAAGAAGAAACTGAAAATTGCCTCTGTGGAGACCTTGATGCCAGGGAGCAAAAGTGGGAGGGAGACTTTACACAGATCTCTTGGCACTTTTTAAATTCTGTGGCATTTGAGTGTATCACTTATTCAAAAGAGTGAAGAGAATTTAGGGGGGGGGATTTTCATTAAGGTGCCAAATGCTAGCTTCCCCTCTGAGGTCCTCTTGAGGAGGTCCTCTTGAGGAACCAGAGTTTGTTTGCACATGACTCCCCAGAGCTTCATTGTTTGATCTCTGATGTCAGACAAGAGCATTGTCATGTCAAACAGAGACATGGGACATATCTTGTTCCCAGTGATCTCCAGAGCCTCCCAACATGCATCAGGCATGAGCTTCAGCACAGCTGTGTACCCAATGTCATCTGGTGTGTTTGCTAAGTGCATGAAAGAATGTTCGCCTCAGGATCTGGAGAGATGACTCAGCAGTTAAGAGCACTGGCTGCTCTTGCAGAGGACCCAGGTTTGATCCTCAGCATCCACATGACAGCTAACAACTGTCTGTAACTGCAGTTTCAGGGGATCTGACATCCTCTTCTGACCTCTTCAGGCATTACAGGATACAGGTGCACTTACATACATGCAGAAAAACGTTCATAAACATAAAGATAATAAAGAAAATAATTTTTTAAATGTTCACCCCACTTTCTTTTGTCTACCACACAGAAAAGAAGAGTGAAGGGAAGAGGGAAAGCCTTCTCCCCCTGGCTTCCAGGAAGCCCATCGCACCCATATTCCTACAAGGCCTCTCTGATCTAAAAGTCATGGATGGAAGCCAGGTCACCATGACAGTCCAGGTGTCAGGTCTGTTCCTGCATCCCTCTCCTTGGGGTATATAAGAAGGTGGTCATATTGCAGTGTGCTTTGCTCCTGGAGGCCTTGCTTAGATCACAGAGACTCCAGAAAATCAGCATAGGACCATCAGTAAGGGATGCAAAGGAATGGGGCCTCTTGGTCTCTCTTCTCTGCTATCTGGGTGGCATTTGTAGATTCATGATTACACAGTCCAGTGCAAGAAGATGATTAAAGCTAGAGGGAGAGGGATTAATGTGAAGACAGTGTGGCCAGGACCAATGAACGTTTTAAGGCTTAGGTTTGTGTTTTGGTTTTTAAAGAGTTCTGACAAACCTTTTTTTAAAAAAAAATTAGTACATATCCATTGTAGAAAGTGATGAGTTTCATAATGACATTTTTATTCAAGCATATCATGTACTTTGACTGCATTCACCCACTGCACTTTCCTGTCTACCTCTCCTCTCCCACTGGTCCCCTTCCTTTTCCTAAACAGTCCCCCTTCTACTTCTGTGACATCAGCAACAAGACAGTGGTGTCCAATTTTTCCCCTCTTATTCAATATAGATCTTGAATCTTAGAGCAATAAAGCAAGAGAAAGAAAAAAAGGGGTTGCAAATTATTAAAGGGGAAGAAGTCAAATTATCCCATTTGAAGATGATATGAGCCTAGACTGAAAAGACCCTAAAGACTGCTGGTTTTGAAAGTGGTACATAATCAGATTATATGAGAACCTCCCAACCCTTAGAAGCTGTATCATTTGTTCTTGTCAAGTTTTAAGGTGGAAAGTAGAGAAGAGATTCTTCTAAAACAAAGAAATATGGCTTGCACTCAGGCTGAGCTCTCCCAACCCCTGCTGGGAATAGCAGACGCCCCCAGAGACATAGCTCCATGCTTACAGTAGAACAACTGTAGGTACCTGTGGGTGCACCCCCTTAGCTCCTGGTCAGTGCCTGTGGAAACTTAGAGGTCCCATCCCTGGCTGTATAGTTGCTTTGGAGCTGTAGACTCAGTAAAGATGACCTGTAAGAGGACTCAGGACTTGGCCTTCAAGAGATGCTCAGATGTCCCTCTGTTCTTGCAGGCTGAGGCCATTCCATGACAGTCCCAGGCAGAGGTTGGGTCCCCTTTCCACACTTGCCATGCCAGCTGGCCTCCAAACACATAACGTCTGACCCATGGCAAACAAATGTCCCTCTGCTTACTCTTAAGTCTCCCCAGGGCCTTCACCTCTCTGAAAGCAGACTGTAATGGTCAGCTCTCACATCCAAGGAAACCCTCATAGTGGTCATTGTTCTGTGCCCAACACATTCCAAAGATGTAGGCAAGCATTGCTACCCAGCCAGAGCTACTTTTGGAAACTCTCTGCAAGCTGGTGTCCAGGGAGCACATTAATATGGTAACCTCTTTCTGGTGACAGTCTGCAAAGGAGCTACATGAAGTTGCCATTGCCTATGAGTGGATTCTTTGAGTGAGGCAGGGCAGAGCAGAGAACATGTTCATTTTAAACCAACTAGTTAACAGTCACTGGAATTCGAACTGTAAAAAACATTCTTTTTGTGTTTGAAATTATATTTTTATTTCTGTAGTCTTCCTAGTTTCCCCAAATCTGTTGTTTAGTACTCATAACAGACATGTTTGGTGCTCTATGTGCCACATGCCATTCTAGTGGGTAGCTAGGGCAAGTTAGACTGACTCATTTAGTCCTCCTAACAATCCCACAAGGCAGATCCTGTTAGAATCTTTCTGTACATGAGAGGAAACTGAGGCAGTTTGGTAGCTTGTTTAGTTCAATATTACCATATTAAGTGCAGAGATGCTCCCTGGCTAGGGAAGTCCCTACCTGATAATCCCCCTGCTACTCCCCTCTGTTCAGGGAACCCACCCCCAGAGATCATCTGGCTTCACAACGGGAATGAGATCCAGGAGTCTGAGGACTTCCACTTCGAGCAGAGAGGTGGCCGGCATAGCCTGTGTATCCAGGAGGTATTCCCTGAGGACACGGGCACTTACACCTGCGAGGCCTGGAACAGTGTGGGGGAGGTCTGCACCCAGGCTGTGCTCACTGTGCAAGGTGAGCCTGAGCTGCTGCGAGGGGGTGGGGGTTGAGGTACAGCTTCTTCAAAAGCCATCTGGAGGTGAGGAGTGCATTAGAACCTGCCCTGGTCCCATCTTAGCCCTGGAGGCAGTTCCTGTGCTAGAAGATGTCAAGCCCTGGCTCAGTAAGACTGTCGTCCCAGCTTCCTCAAGTCCCAGCCCTCTCTGGGCTGCTGATGCAAAGCCTCATGGAGTGCTGAGAGAGGCCTATAATGTACTTAATTTGGTACTGATAGTTTGGGAGGTGAGTTGTAGACTTTGAGTTCTTACTTGTAGAGACCTCCTTTTTTTTTTTTGTCTTTTTGAGGCAGGGTCTCCCTGTAGCCCCAGCTGGCCTGGAAGTCACTATGTAGACCAGGCTTGCCTTGAACTCACAGAGATCTGCCTGCTTCTGCCTCCTGATGCCTCCTGAGTGCTGGGACTAAAGGCATGCACCACCACACCCAGCGAGACTGCCTTTTTAAAACAGTGTATGGAAGTGCACCCGTGTCGTGCAATGCCCACAGAGGTCAGAAGAGGGTGTCGGATCCCCTAGAACTGGAGTTATGGACAGTTGTTAGGTGTCATGTGGGTGCTGGGAATCGAACCCGGGTCTTCTGCAAGAACATTCAGTGTTCTTAACTGCTGAGCCATCTCTCCAGCCCCAAGACCGCCTTTTTAAGAGAGACAAACACATGCAGTAAGTGACAGGCTGGTCAGTCACATCTAATACAGATCATGAGCACCCAGTCCAGGATCCCACACCTCCAGGGACTCTCTCCCCTCACTGGATATGTGAATTCATATCAGTATCATCCTCTGAGAACGTTACCAGGGAAGATTTGCAAGAAGGATGTGCCGTGTCTGTATGTTCAGTCTAAGCTTCTAGAACACTTGCTTTTTGGTAACACTGTCTTCCAACCCTTTGCCATGCTGCATGCTGAAGGGCCTCCATCTCTAGCTTTCCCCTTTGCCAACTTCCAGAGCCTCATGATGGCACCCAGCCCTGGTTCATCAGCAAGCCTCGTTCGGTGACGGCCTCCCTGGGCCAGAGTGTCCTCATCTCCTGCGCCATAGCTGGAGACCCCTTTCCCACTGTGCACTGGCTCCGAGATGGCAAAGCCCTCTCCAAGGACAATAGCCACTTTGAGGTGCTGCAGAATGAGGACGTGTTCACCCTGGTTCTAAAGAACGTGCAGCCCTGGCACGCCGGCCAATATGAGATCCTGCTCAAGTGAGTCTGCATGTCCTGCCAGCCTCCCTTGTCCCCTTCCCCCAGATTCCTGGCTCCTAATCTGGTACTGGGAAGCCAGAGGAGGCACACACTGATGTAGGACTTGGACTTTAAAACATAAGCAATCTCAGTGTAGTTACCAAGCTTTTGTTCTTCCAGTTGTGCAGACAGATGCTCGTGACAATCTCTTCCCACTGAGCTGGGTTCCCTAGGAGCCTCTGACACTCACCCTTGATTTGACACATTGTGTGGTATGTGGAGAATACAAAAGAAGAAGGAATGTGAGGCAGGCTTGGTCACTCATGCCTGTGATCACAGCATTTGGGAGACTGAGGCAGGAAGACCACCATGAGTTTGAGACCACCCTGGGCTATAAAGTGAGACCATAGCTCAAAAAAAATTTGAAAAGGAGAGACTGGATTAAAGGTAGAAATGCAGGAGGATAAAGGTTAGGGGTGGGGGTGTTTAGTATTAGTTGTCTGTTGTTGTGTAACAAATTACCCCTAATTTAACAACTTAAAAACAGCAAACATTTATTATCTCACAGTTTCTGTGGGCTAGTGTGTTAGTCTATTTTCTGTGACTATAATGAAATCTCTGATGCTAGATAACTTTATAAACAAAGGAGGTTTATTAAGCTTGTATCTCTGGAAGTCCAAAGCTAGGAGCTTTCTCTATTGATAGCCTTCCTGCTGTCAAAATCCCAGGGTGGTACAGGGCATCAAATGGCAAAGGACAGAAAGCATGCATATGTCATGGCCTTTCTCTGCTTCATCTCAGACAGTTGCCTCTATTCAGTCATAGGGACTCTGCCTGATAGCTTATCTAATCTTAGCACCTCCTCAAGATCTCACTTCTAAATACTATATAGTTGAATTAAGTTTCCACCCTCTTAATAGAGATTAAATTTCAATACATGGCCCTCGGGGGACACACTTACACCATACAGATCATAGCAGCAAAGAATTAGAAGCATCTTAGCTGGATGTCAGAGAAGCTGAGTCTCTGAGAGTTTGACTGAGCCTGGAGGACCAATGTCCAAGATGGCTCACTCCATGACTTGTCGGGAGACCTCCGCTCCTTGTCATTGCAACCTCTGCACAGAGTTGCAGGAGTGTCTTTATGATGAGGCAGCTGGCTTCCCCAGAGCTGGTGATCCAAGAGACAGCCCTAGTTTGAACCTGCAATGCCTTTTATGACCTGCAGTTGGAAGTCACACACTATCACCTCTGATACTTTTTGTTAAAGTGAGCCACTAAGTAAAGCTTTCATTCAAGGAATGGAGAATCAAAACTTCCACCCCTTGTTGAAAGGAATATCAAAGAAGTTGTAGACATTTTAAAACTCCCACAGGGGCTAATGATGTAGCCAGTGATGCTTGCCTAGCAAGTATAAGGTTTGATACCCAGCACCAATAAATAAATAAATAAATAAATAAATAAATAAATAAATAAATAAATAAATAAATAAATAAAAATGTAATTGTGAGTTCAAGGCCAGCCTGGTCTACGTGGTGAGTTCCAGGATAGCTGGGGCTGCAGGGAAAATAAATAAATAAATAAATAAATAAATAAATAAATAAATAAAAATGTAATGTACTAGTTACCTGTCTTGCTGCCATAATAAAAGCCTCTGACAAAAGCAACTTAAGGAAGGAAGGGTTTATTTGGCTCACAGTTCCAGGATAACGTCCATCCTGGTGGGAAGGCATGACAGCAGGAGCCTGAGGCAGCTGGTCACATTGTTTCCACAGTTAGGAAACAGAGAGATGAATGCTAGTGTTCAGCTCAATTTCTCCCTTTTATCCAGTCCGGGACCTCAGCCCATGGAGTGGTGCCACCCATGGTTAAGGTGGGTCTTCCTGCCTCAGTTAACCTAATGTACACAAATCTTTCACAGGCATGCCCAGAGGCTAACCTAATCTAGATAATCCTTTACAGGTATAACCAGAGGCTTGTCTCCTAGGTGATTCTAGATCTTGCCAAGTTGATGAGATTAACCATCATGAGTAAATATATATGTATATATATATATGTGTGTGTATATATATACATATACATATATATTCACATTTATTTTCCCTATCTACCTTTAAAATACTCCAGCTCTGAAAATTCTAGGCCAAGCCTGGATTGATGGAGACAGAATACCTGCTCTGGCCCCTAGAACTTGCGAAAGTATGTTGGCCTGCAAATGGAAGATTGTGCCACATCCTGAGGATGGTTATACTTGCCCTGAATGAGCACCTGACTACTTTATAAGTTCTCCTGGACTTTATCATTTCCCCATACTGAGCCCATTATGTTCAAGATGGGCTCTATAAGCTCCATGCCAAGGCTACTGCTGTGATGGAGCACTATGCCTATAATAACACTGCACACATGCTTTACACTTGCATCAGTTTGCTGTTGCTGTATAACAAACCACCCCAATATTTAAAGGTATTCTTTAAAATAGCCTTTTTAAAAATGCTATTATTTCTTAAGAGTCTATGGATCTGCTGGGAAGTTATGCCAATGTGGGCATAATTCATGGATCTCACCTAACCTCAGGGACCCTCTTCTGATTACCTGTCACTTATTACTATCAGCTATATGCCTAGAATATGTCGACTGCCTTTGCCTTAAGATTGAACCAGTTATTGATAGGAGGACAAATCTGCCTCCATAATTAAGGGTCTACCCCCTTGTTCTCCAGGCAAAGGGTAGAAGTTGATGTATATGAAAATACTTTCTGATGAGCTTTCTGTACAGAAAGCAGTACTTTGAGATAATACTCCCATTGATCAAGGAAGATATCCTACAGAAGATGAAATTTTTTGTGGGATTTTGCTTGTTTTGGTTTTGTGAAACAGGGTCTCATATTGTCCAGGTATCCTCAAACTCAGTATGGATGACCTTGAACTCTGGGTCCTCCTGCCTCCACCTCCCAAGTGCTGGGACAGGTATGCACCACCACTGTGTCCAGCTTTTTATGGGATTTTGAGACAGAAAAGAAAGGCTGGGTCTTGGCCAGTGATAAAGGACTTGGCGGTTGAATAAGCTGAGGAAGAAGGGGGTGGGGAGCACAAAGCAAAGGGCTATGGAAACTTTGCCAGGCCATGGAAGGGGCCTGCACTGAGAGGTCAGAAGGCAGACTATCTGGGACCAGCTGGGGACAGTCATAAAATTTAGACTATCCCAGCTGGAAGAGACTTTAGACATTATTTAGCCTTCTCATTTAATAATGAGGGAAATTGAGATTTCAGGTCACAGACTTGCTCATGACCATGAGCTAAGCCTAAATTCAGGCTGTTGTCTGTTGACCTTAATCAAATGCTCTTCCATTCCTTCATCCTATCACCAGAAAATCCTCTCTATGTGCTGGGAACCAGGGGACCTGGGAATTCATGCAGCCTTTGCCTGTTTTCCCTCCCGAAGTCTGGCCTCCTCACTCCTCTGGGAGGCCATTGCCCTGGCCTTGGCTTTGTCCCCAGCAAAAAAGGAGCAAGTCAGTGGAAAGTTCTCCTGGGAAGTGCATGCCAGGCCTGCCAGGGACCTTGTTTCCTCCCACTTTCCTTGTCCTGATAGAAGTCAGACCTAACTCCAAGGAGGACTGCCTTTCAAGGAAGGAAACCAGGGGGGTCCAAGCTGTCCCTGCTACAGTGGGGAGGCAGATGTGGATGAGCCCTTCCCTAGTTCTGACCGAAAGGGGAGTAGCAAAAAATCAGCTCCAAATTCTACCTGCGATGTTTGAAGACACAGATATTTTCCAGAAAATTAGTTCTTTAAACTAATTTTACATAAAACTCATCCTATGAGTGAGTGATTCAGGGTGGGACAAGATCCAACGCTTATAATCAGAGTGAGCTTCCTGTTCAGGGCTCAGGATGTGGGGTGGGGGTGGGGGAGGGACGGTGGTGGTAGGAGTGTGTAAAAAGCTCTGGAAGTTTGTGATAGGTGTAGCATGCAGAATGACTGCTCCATGTCCTGTGTGGTCGCACCAGGGCAGAGCCTCTGTCTCAGTCCAAGTTTGTAATGGGGTATGTGCAACATCAGAGATGGCCCACGATGCTGGTTATGGTCTCTGGCAGATAACCCCTGAGTTTTATAGGCTCCAGGAGAATCCAAGAGCTGCCTTAAAGGCCCAAGAGAGGTTTGCATTTTAGGCTGTCAGAATAGTTACCCTAGAAGTCCAGCCCTGGAGTCTCAGTGCTCTGCCCCCTCATCTGCCTAAGGACCCCAGTGTGAGGTCTGAGGGGTGGGTTGAACCAGAGGCCTTGAGAGGTTTATCTGTGTCTACATTCCCCACCATGGGGACAGACCATGGTGATGATGGGGGAGACCTTACTTGCTTCCTCCTGGGGCGGGGGGCGGAAACAGGTCAGTTGTGCTCTAGCCCCGAGGACAGAACTCTCTGAATCACAGGCTGACGGGGTGTGGCCGGGATAAAGTGGAGCCATCTGGTCAGCATCTGCTCCTGATTTCTGGGCCTGGGCTGTGTCCTCCTTGTGTCAGGAGGAAACTGAGTGAGGATGTGTGGAAAAGAGCTACTGAGTAAACAGCCCTTGGGTATCTTGTTCTGCTCCACACCAGTGCTGGGCATGGCAGGACTGTGCTTGAAAAATGGGCCAAGAGTAGCCTAACACTGGCTAGTGGCCCTGATAGAAACAGAGTGCCAGGGAGCATACTCACAGTCTGGCACCAATGAGCCGTGTGGTGAGCACAGGTTCCTGGGCTCCTTAGGCTCCCTGACTCGGTACCTTCTAAGAGCCTGGGCCTAGAGGTGGGGACAAACTAGAGAGACTGACAGGGAAGGAAAGAAGAGTAAAAAAGATGTAGTCACAGGAAGGGACCTACATTAGCACGGCCTGGTATAGCACAAAGGCAGGAGGGAGAGGGACAAAGGAGAGGATGGCTGGAAGGTAACAGATAGACTTGTCCTTGCTTCATATGGGTCCCTGCCCAGCAGTGAGCAGCAAACCCACAGACCCTGAGAAGCAGAGCAATGCCTAGGGCTACAAGTATGTTCATGTGGAGGATGCCAGGCAAAGTGAGGTAGATACCTACTCATGTCAGCAGGACTTGCACAGACACTCACTCCGATGTCTCTCCCTGTGTGGCGGGCTCTCATAAGCACATATTCCCAAAATCAGACCCCAGATGGTACCTTTTAGGTGGACCTATATACCTACATGTGTATCTATCTCCGCTTGTGGTTGAGGCACACATATGCAAACTGACACATAAACACACAAAGATTCTGGAGCAGATTAGTACTAATGAATGCAGGCCTTGGATTCAGATAGATCAGATCCTGGGCCTATTCCTACTAGGTAACAGTGAGTTTAAGTGCATCACTTAACCTTCACACACTGCATTTGTCTTGTAAGAATAGTGTTGTCTCCAACCTGTTAGAACTGTCATAGATGAAATGAGGTGAGGCATGTAAGAAAGAGGTCACAGAGCTGGCAGCTTGCACATCTGCTATGGGGTCTTGCTGGGTCACTCAGACCCAGCAATGCTGCTAAGGCAGCACATCCAAGAGACTGAGTAGGAAGCCTAGAGTCCTAGGCTTTGCACTAGCATTGCTTTGCATAACCCCCAGAGCCTCCTTTCCTGTGATTTCCTGAACTTTCTACACTTTGCTAGCATGTTATAGGGAACAAGACAAGGCATGTGGCAGCCATGAGGGCCAGAGGGTGCTGGTTAAGTGCAGTCCTTGGAATAGAAGAGTCAGTTCCTTTGGCTCTGGACCTGCCCTTACCCTCCTTGGCTGAACACTTATATTAGCTGGATATCGCTTAGAAATGCCAGCAGAGGGCAGCCTCAGAAGCCATCTACTGTAAATTCACCCAACTAGCCACTGTATGGTTCAGCCCCAGCCTGAGAAGAGGGGCCTCAGTCAGCCATGCATCCCTGGAGGCAGAACAGTTCTGTGGTTGTAAAGAATCCGGAGCCCTCCCCACCTGAAGGAGAAAAAGAAAGGGCCACCCATGTAGGGAGACATGCTTGTTAGGTTTTTAACACAGAAAGTTCTGGCTGATGATGGGAGGTCAGGAGTGTTTTCAAGGGGGAAACAGCCATCATGGAAGGGACTGCCACTACTTTGAAGGAATGTAGAGTCAGATTGCCAGTTGCTGGGCATCTAGGCAGGACCAGTCTGTCTAACCACCCACCAGCAGCATCAAAGCCCCAAGCAGGGCTACTCTTTCTTCTTCAACTGAGTGAGTGATAGTATTATACAATATGCTTACAAGAAAGGATTCCCACTTGTAGATGCTGATCTTAGCTGTTTAGATCAATGGATCTTCCTTTTTCACCCTTGCTATATGCAGGAAGTAGGAAAATTAAAGGTAATCACAAGGTTAGAAGTCTTGGACGGATGTCATAGCTAATCCTGAGACCTCCTTTTTCTTTGATGGTCCTCCAGCCCATGACCAAGTCCACACTTGCCTTTTACCCTGTCCAAATCTGGGCTGTGCAGGCCTTGCCCAGGGAACCTCATGATCCTTACTGTCTTTGACTTCATTAGGAACCGGGTTGGCGAGTGCAGTTGCCAGGTGTCACTGATGCTGCTGAACAGCCTTGCCAGAAACCCCCCACGGTGAGTACCCCAGGAGCTGTCCAGCCAGGTCCCTGTACCATCCTCCTCCTGGCTGTGCAGCCTGGGATTGTTTGTATCCTCCCATTTAGGCTACCAGAGCCAAAGGGAGAGAGGCTGGACGAGGATGAAGGAGGGAGGGCAGAGAAAGTAAAGGAGGGGGTAATGTGTGTTGCTTTTTCTTTCTTTCTTTCTTTTTTTTTTTTTTTTTTGCACGCACCCTTATAAGGCTACTGAAGTCATTACTGATATAATAAACCAACTAGGCAAGCAAGAGCCTCTCACCAATGTTCCCTTCTATAAACACAGCCTGGCCAGGCCCCCACATCCCCTTCCCCCTCCTCTCTACCCTCCGCCTTCAGGGATTTGCTCTCCCCTGACGTTTCTGGCTTACCCGGCCCCTTTTCCTCCTTGCTACTTTCCCTTTTCCCTTCACTGGTTGCAGGGGGCGGGAGCCTGCCAGCTGTGAGGGCCTTTGTGGTGGAGGAGTTGGTGCTGATGGTGGTGGTGACCGTGACCGCGATGGGACCTTGAGGCCTGGCTGGCCAGCAAGAGGGCAGGGTTGGCCAGAAGAGGAAGAGGGAGAAGACGTGAGGGGGCTACTTAAGAGGCGAGTGGAGACCAGGCTACACACGGAGGAGGCGATCCGGCAGCAGGAGGTGGGGCAGCTAGATTTCCGTGACCTCCTCGGGAAGAAGGTGAGCACAAAGACTGTGTCGGAAGAAGACCTGAAGGAGATCCCAGCCGAACAGATGGATTTCCGCGCCAACCTCCAGCGGCAAGTGAAGCCAAAGACCGTGTCCGAGGAAGAGAGGAAGGTGCATAGCCCCCAGCAAGTTGACTTTCGCTCTGTCCTGGCCAAGAAGGGGACTCCCAAGACCCCTGTACCCGAGAAGATGCCACCTCCGAAACCTGCCACCCCAGACTTCCGCTCAGTGCTGGGTGGCAAAAAGAAGTCACCAGCAGAGAATGGCAGCAGTGCAGAGGCCTTGAATGCCAAGTCTGCAGAGAGCCCCATGCCGGTAGGCAATGCACAGCCGGTTGGGGCCCTGAAGTCCATAGGTAATGCCAAGCCTGCAGAGACCCTGAAACCCATGGGCAATGCCAAGCCTGCAGAGACCCTGAAACCCATGGGCAATGCCAAGCCTGCTGAGACCCTGAAACCTGTGGCCAATGCACAGCCTGCAGGGTCCCTGAAACCCCTGGGCAATGCACAACCTACTGAGACCCAGAAGCCAGTGGCCAATGCCAAGCCAATCCCCACCCTGAAATCAGCTGGGAAAGAAGAACTCAAGGAGGTTAAGAATGATGTGAACTGTAAGAAAGGGCATGCTGGGCCCACAGACAATGAAAAAAGACCAGAGAGTCAAGGCTCAGCCCCAGTCTTCAAGGAGAAACTGCAAGATGTGCATGTGGCAGAGGGCAAGAAGCTGCTGCTACAGTGTCAGGTAACCTCTGACCCCCCAGCCACCATCACCTGGACACTGAATGGAAAGACACTCAAGACCACAAAATTCATCATCCTCTCCCAAGAAGGTAAATGAGGGTGAGGGCAGGGAAGATGGGGCTCTGGTACTGGGGTCATTGGCAAAGCATGGAGCCACAGTCTGCTTGATGGTCACTCATGGCCATAGCCTGATTTGGAGTGCCCAGCTGTGTTCCCCATCATTTACAGGATGGGCTCCCTGCTCAGGCTCCTTGTGTGTACACATGTCCCCGCCGGGCGAGAGGGCTGGAGAGCTGGACTTCTGATCTGTGTGGTACATGCTATATCTTGGTGTCTTTCTGACAGAGTCCCCTCCTGGCACCCCACCCAAGGGTCCTGTAAACAGACCTGAGCCTGAGCTGATGTCTAGCAACACCCCCCACCCCCATGGAGAGGGCTCTGTTTGCAGGCTGGGAATGGGGGATACAGAATTGAGGTCAGCTGGGGACCCTGAGCCCAGCATTGCTTGAAAAGCATTTGTTTGGGGGAACAGTAAGTGATGACAGGCCTGGTATGGAATTAGGAGTTGGCATCAACAGCAGCTTAAGTCTTAAGACCATTGCAGGTCTGAAGGGACCCATGGGCAAGCCAAACACTCAAAACAGCCCTTATGGTTGCATTCACAAGGGACAGAGCTGCTCTTTCCTAATTTGGATGAGACTTTTGTTTGCTGGTGTTTCACATTCTTGGGTGGGGGGGGTGGTACAAATCTTACCATCTGTGGCCCTTTGGGATATAGAGTTCTCAGATGAGCCAGTTTACACCAGAGGAAAGAAGGGAGTGAGAGGAGGTTTATTTCTATCTCCTCAATATGATTTATTTGTTTTTTTACATTGTGTGTGTGTGTGTGTGTGTGTGTGTGTGTGTGTGTGTGTGTGAGAGAGAGAGAGAGAGAGAGAGAGAGAGAGAGAGAGAGAGAGAGAGAGAGGTGGGGGGTGAGAACATGCATGCCACAGTGCATGTGTGGAGGTCAGAAGATAACTTGTGAGAGTCAGTTCTCTCCTTCCATCATGTGTATCCCAAAGATCAAACTCAGGTTGTCAGGTTGGGCAGCAAGTGCATTTACCTGCTGAACCATCTCATCTGCCCTGCCCTAGATTTTATTTAAGGTGTTGTTATAAATCCCAAGTCTTGGCAGCAACATCTAGGCTATACAACAGCTCAGTGTGGTGGATAGTGAAGGGATAGCTTCATACCTGAGCTAGAGCTGACCCAGGGGGCTCTGGTCAGCACAGGGCATAAAGAAGCTCCCAGAATGTGGCATGTACCCATGAAGGGCAGAAAGCAGCCACTGCAAAGGATAGGTCCCAGCAAATGACAATGCACTGAGACACCAGGCCATCTTTCCCCTCTTCTCTCTCCTGCTATCCTCTAGTCACACCCCTCTCACCCACTCTCCCCCGTCCTACCTCTAAAAACCTGGAAGGAATCATTTAGCAGATAGCAGAAACCCTGTCTCTCACTCACTCCACGACTCAGCTGGTCACTCTGGAGCAGCTGAAATAGGTGGGATCTAAATGCTGAAGAAGCAAAGGGAAAATTGGAAATTTCTCTCAGCAAGGACAGAAACTGTGTTGTCTTCTGCTAATGTGTTAGCACAGTAACTTTTTCACATGGGCATCCCCAGACTGGCAGGGTTCTCCTGAAGGCATCAGCAACCTATGTCTGCTAGTTCTGCCTCTGCCATGTCCATACACAGGAGTTCTTGGGGGACCACTATGGTGGGGTGAGATGCCCACCCTCCCCACTGAGAAGCTCTCACTCAGACTAACTGAAAAAATCTGACCAGTAGTGTTTTCCAGGTTACCCTGCCTGTCCCATGACCTTTCTGGGCATGATGTGGGCAGCCACTAGCCTGGAACATGTAAATGACACAGCCTGCATTATACTGTCTATGAGTGCACCAATCTTAAGGAAACAGAGTTTCAGACAGTGGTTAGGGCAGCAATTTCCAAAGCCAGAACTACCAATGGTCACTTATAAACAGTCTGTTCAACTGAACAGTTTAAGGCAGACCCCAGCCCTGATCACAGAAGTGCTTCTGAGAAGCCACTGGCTTCTCTTGTGCTTGAGTTGTTTGGACTAAGCTTTATCTGCTGGTCAGTGGTGTCATAGTGCACAGAGACATCATTTTTACCATCACGTTCCAAAGGGAAGGATTTTAAGTCCATAGCAGAACTTTAAAATGTTTAATAGGCCAGCACAAGAAGAGACTAGGAGAGGGGAGATGGAGACTACAGAGAGAGCCCCAAACCAAGCTTAAACAATATCCTCAGTATTTCTAAATAAGAATAGCTTCCATTAGTTGAGTACCATGTCCAGACACTAACCTAGGCATCATACATTTTCCATTCACTTACTTCTCACAACTACTAAGGTGTCCACTAACAGAGAAGTTAAGTAAATTGCCTAAGGTTGCACGGCTCATAAGTGACAGAGCTGGGATTTGAACTCACGTGGCTACATTTCCCTAACTAGACAAAAATATTAGAACTCAGGTAGTACCCCTGGGTTTGCTAAGTGTCTGGTCTTTTCCCTGTAGTGGAGGAAGCAGACCTTGAAAGGAGCCCAACTTGCCACAGTAGAGGGGCACAGTAGAGTACCTTGGCACAAAATACTAGTCATGCCTCCTAGCCCTGTACTCACCAAGTCTTTAAGAGTGGTTTTGTTGGGGGAAGTGCATCTTTAGGCCTATCAGTTGCCACCTCATCAAGTCCCACACAGGCAGGAAGGCAGGCCAGAGGTGGAGTGCATTGACTCACAGTAGCGCTCCACAGAAAGGACACAGGCTCACTCTGATAAAACTCTCAGTGCCTGAGAGTGGGTCAGGAGGAGCTCTGGCAGCAGTTGTTCAGTGATGCTTAAAGGAAAGGCTGAGGGAGAAGTCTTCCGTCTCCCTCTGAGCCCAGAGGACAGACCAGACTTAGGTAGCCACGAAGCCAGGAGTGGGTGGGCTCTCTAGCCAGGGCCAGGCACTAAAGGCTGGCTGCTTTCAAACAGAGCCTGTCTGGTCTGGACAGGAAGGCTTGGCCTTGATTTCATCATATATTCTGCCAGAGCACTTGTCTAAAAGGACCAGAGAGCCATGCAGTGGCGATTTTAGAGTGAAAAGCACTACACGCAAAGCTAGGGTTTAGGGGCTGTGACTGATTCTGGGCCCCGAAGACAAGTATGGAGACTGCTCACAAGGAGCACAGTGGTGAGGCCTAGACTGCTGTGGTGAGCAGGACCACACAGGGGAAGCATCCAGTGTGAGAAGCAAGGACATCTGGAATAGAACCTGAGGACTGGCTTGAAGGGCTGGGTAGAGAAGACAGAGGTGGAGCAGGACACCGAGTGTAGTGTCTGGGCCATAGGGATGTGCCTGGAAATGGGGAAGCTGGTGGTTTGAGGTGGCTCTTAAAGGAGGAGGGATTGGCTACACCCCCACCTCTGACTGCACTGATGCCTATCCTGTCAGTTTCCCCACCATCAAGGTTCATATCCTCCAGTATACCTTCTCAGACTACTGTCACTTTAGCCAAGAGATACCCACACCTTCCTCATTACCAATGGCTGTGTGGATCTCAGACCACCCACTGCTAGGGAATGCCTGTGTCAGGGAGCTTCTCTGCTGAGCTCCAGAGCCTGAGAAGAGATTTGACAGCCATTCGTAGGAGCTGAACACTAGGTAATTCTTGAAGAGTCAGTCAAGTGGAAGTAGCCTATTTCTTCCTGCACCCAGAGCTGCAGGGTACCTGCAGGGTGCTGTCAACTGGATTTGCCTTCCAGGAACAGGGACCTGAGCCTCCCTTGCTAGACCTATCTTAGTTGCAAGGAGGCAATGGCCCAGTCATGGATGAGGTGGCATTAGAACAGTTTTTCTCCCTGTGCCTTGCTTCCTGCCTCCAGGCTGGGCTTCCCCCAGCAATCTAATAACAATGCCTTGCTTTTGTTGCTGTTGTCAAGAGATGATTCATCTTTAATTACCTTTGGGATAGAATCTCGTGAAAGCTTTTTTTTCAACTCTGTATAAATTCATCCTATAAAAAATATAGCACCTACAGTTTACAAGGCATTATTCCAAATCCCTTTCCTTGCATGTATAATCCATGTAACCCGGAATTCATGATTTCCTTCCTTCTAGAAACTGTCTTATCTTTTCCAATAGTACATATAAATATATGCCATTGATTACATGTTTATGACCTTGTCTTGCATAGATCTTTCCAAAATATCTGTTGTAGAAATACACTTCTGTCACACACAGAATGGCAAATACATTTTTTTTTTTTTACTGCAACTGCGTTCTAGACATGGTGACTACCCTCAGAGCTAGCACAGGAGACAGGCATGCAATGGTCTTGAGACATGCTTTATAATGGTGAGCTCAGTGTGCACGGGGAGCCCAGGAGAGGTACAACTAGAGATGGGGGCTTAAGAGTGATGCAGACAGTGCTATACCTGAGGGGACCCAGGCTAAGTGGCACTGCTGGTCAGTGCTTGCCAGGAGGGCAGGTCAGAGAGGCATTGCTGACCAATCAGGAGCCTCCAAGCGATTCAGGCTCCTCCTTCATCCCCCATCCCTACCCTGTCCTCCCCTCCCCCCACCCACTCAGGGAAGATGAGAGCTAGGGGTCTTCAATGGTAGGACAGTGACTTCCCAACTTGGAGGGGTTCCTGGCAGAGCTCCTGCTGAGCCACTCAGAGGATTCCTGCTTCTATCCCCCCTTTCCTCTCAAAATTCTCCACCAGGCTGAGGCTTTTCAAAAAAAAAAAAAAAAAAAAAAATTGCTGGGAAACACTTTTCTTCTGGAGGTCAAGAATGAGTCGTCCCACAGGAAATACCAGATTCTTTGTCTGGAGTAGCCAGCCTCCAGCCTGCCCAGCCTTTCCCCAAACCTACGCAGGGCAAGCATTTGGCCATGGCCAGGCTCTCTCTCTTCAGGGGGTGGGGAGGTAGTTGGAGAGCTTGTGAGGAGGCAAGGTCTTGTTCAAATATGCCACTGGCCTCTGCGCTATCACATTGCTATCTGCAGTGTCTATCATTTGAGTCTCAAGCTAAAGGCAGCCCAGCCGAGGGACCAAAATTGGAAAATCAGAAATTGAGCAGGATGTGAGTTGAGGGCGGGGGAATAGAGCATCAGCCTAGACGAGGGAAAGTGAGAGGTGGGGTGGAGTTCCTCTGAGCCTTGGCTTTGAGGTCACAGGTCATGTTTGCATCCTCCTGCCCACCACATGAATGGAAATTATCTCTCTAGAAGTTAGTTGTCCTTACTTCCCTGACCCTGACCCTCCCAGTTCTAACTCTCATGACAGACTTTCTAAATCTCCAGCTGAGATCCTTTCTGCTGCAGTTGGGAAGAGATGGTGGCCCATTGCCCTTCCCATGGGAAGACAGAGTGAGGCCCGTCCAAGGGCTGGGATCTGTAGAAGGGGTAGGAGGTAGGGAACACATATCAGCTGTGTGCTCTTTCCTTTTTCCCCAGCCCGGGTGAGGTTCTATGGGCCCAACTGATGCCACCCTTGCTCTTTGGGTATTCTTGTATCAGCTCTGTGTGTCCATGAAAAGGAGCAGGAGGGAAGGCAGTGAGTGGGTTTGCTTTTTGAGATTAGAAGGCCCCTCTGGAAACAGTGCTATTGGTATCACTTCTGGTCTTGTCCCCTCACCACCATACACCTGGGATGCACACAACTCTCTTCTCCCAGTTCTGTGGCTCTGGGGATGTAGGAATGGGTGGCTTACAAGCATCAGGATGGGTCTGGCTCTGGCTCTGTCCTCCTCTCATGTACTGCTGTACTCCTGGCTGACCAGGCTGGCACCATCATCAGATCACTTCTCCCCATACTCCAGGACAGTCCCATAGAAAAGAGCTGGCCGGACTGGAGGTGAGAAAGCTGTGCGGAGAAGGACCAGCTCCTGGATTCCTGTCTGTCCCCAGTCAGCTCCACCCCTCTTTGAGGGGCCACAAGACCTGGCCCTGCAAGAAGGCAGCCTTGGGAGTCTCTCCTCTATCCCAGTGGTCCTCATTGACCACAGTTCTTCAGTAAAAACCCCCTTCCTGAAAAGCTAGTGAGCCATAATCCCAGACTGTAGCCACTGCCTCCTCCCAACAGATCATCCCAAAGGCCAGTGTCCCTGATGGGCAAGAGTTCCTACCCTCTCCCACCTATCTGTTTGCTTAGAACTCCCTTTACCTTGGGCTGATGAAGTGGCTCAGCTGGAAAATGTACTTACTCCCATGCCTGATGACCTAAGTTCTGTCCCCCAGGAGGACCCACGTGGTAGAATGAGAGAAGTGACTTCTGAAAGTTGTCCTCTGATCTCTACACATACATCATGGCAGATATGTACCTATGCATACACACTCACTCATGATATGTAATATATATATATATATATATGTGTGTGTGTGTGTGTGTGTGTGTGTGTGTGTGTGTGTGTATATAAATATATATATATATTTTTTTTAAACATCCTTTACCAAGTGGCATCACCAGCATCACTCATGAAGGACCACTGTCCCCGAGGGGGTCTGACCACTGTCCCCAGGATAACCTATGCCTGGCTCCTAATGCTGTTCATGAAGGGCAGTGATTGTAGAGATTGTGTTCATTCTGCTTCCTCTGCCATATAGAATGTTCTCCACTGCCTTCACACCCTCCTTCTGCAGCTTTCTACTGTTTCCAAAGAGACCTTGAGTGGGGAGGCTGACCTGGAGGAGCATATTAGGAATCAGCTCTTTTGGATGCAGATTAAGGAAAGCACAAGCTTCAGAGAGGAGAGGAGCTGATTCTCAAAAGAATCCTGGACTCTGAGAAGAGGCTTGTGAGGACACCTGCCATGCTCCAGACACTAGGGCAGGCACTGGACCCCTACCTGGTCACTCACAACATTTCCTGTTCTTCCCCCAGGCTCGCTCTGCTCTGTCTCTATCGAGAAGGCACTGCCGGAGGACAGAGGCCTGTACAAGTGTGTAGCCAAGAACAGCGCTGGCCAGGCGGAGTGCTCCTGCCAAGTCACTGTGGACGGTAAGTCACACTCACACATTGCCACCACACATACAGGGCCCAGCTCTTGGCCCCTTTCACATGTGAATGAAACTACCTCCAACTGTCCCCACCCTTGCCTACACATTCATTTTGTAGGACTCAAGTTATCTCTCAAAAAAACAAAGATGGACTAGAAAGGAAAGTGACAGCTCTCCTTGATCCCCATGTGGCCTCTTCCTGTATCCTCTGGCCAGGAGGCCGAGTCATTCACCTTTTCCTCCCCTCCCAGTCCTGACGCCCACACCCAGAACCTTCTGGACAGGGAAGCTGGGCACAAGGGCACCAGGCAGGAGAAAGGACACACCCACAGGAAAGTGACTACAAGTATTTTACAAGCCACAGCCAAGTGTGCAGAGTGTTGGTGCACAAACCAGCGAGGGGCCGGGGCCTGAGGAAGGAGCTGAGTTTGCAAGTATCCTCCAGGAGAAGGTGAGTCAGGCTGAGGTGTTGGGGAGAGAAGACAAGACCACCTTTGCCAAAAGAAAATTGTCACAGTAAGATAGCAGAAAGAAGGGAGACGATGCTGGAGAAAGAGCAGACCCTTAGGCCTAGTGGAGTTCCAGTCTCAGGAAGGGGCAAGGCCCAGCTGGGAGGCTTGGGGTGTGTCTCAGAGAAATGCAGGAAGCGTGCATTTGTGTCTCTTTTCCCTCCCCTCCATGAGGAGTGTGGAATTAGACACTGGAGGCAAAATGAATCTTGCAATGGTCTAGGCTCATACCCTCATTAGCATTAACATTATCAGAAATCAAACCCACCAGGGCCCCTCCTCTGCTAGGCCAAGTCTCTACCATCGAGCTATATCTCCAACCCCCAACAGCCTCATTTTATAGATGAGAAAACAGAGGCTATTCAGAGAGGAAAGGCAGCCTGCAGGAGCTCCTGGTCCCTGTAGGGCCGAGTCGGGGCAAAGCCCAAATCTAAACCCTCGGGACTTCCAATCCAGTGCCCCCCTTTTTTTTTTTTTTGTATTTTCATACTTTCCTGGAAATGTCTAAAAAGGTAGTTTTGGGAAAACAGTCTCTTGCCCTTGAAATGCCTCGTTAATAACCATCAGTGACTTGTCAAAAAATGGTGTCCAAATAAGGCATCTGGAAGAGCAGCTTTGCTGTTCTTCTGGCTCCTGAGTGTGATCACTTGAGTCCTAAAACCCTAACCTGGTTTACAGCCATCCTTCAAGTCTTTGTTCTACCCTCTGGATTTCACAACCCCACTTCCTGATCACAAAGCAGAGATCTAGGGTACATACTAAGTGGGAGAAAGGACCCTAAGTCTTCTAAAGGCAAGTCTTTTGAAAACACACCATGGCAATGTAAATTAAATTGTTAGGAGCTGAAAAAGGAGAAGCTGAAATTGTCTGACAGGGTATGGATACCCTGGAGTTCTGGGAGTGAACTTCTCACAGGGTCTGCCTCTGAGGAGGCAGATCTGATGGGCCAGAGTTCATGGTCAGCTCAGACATATTCTGTGGGGCTCACAAGCTGTGAGGCTTCTGCTTATGCCTATGTGTGTGTGTCTCTCCTCACCTGGGCTGTTACCACCCAGGTCAGAGTCCCACTGCCTTCCCTCCAGGTGCTGTGTTGTAGCACCCCTGGGAATTTGGCTCCAGAAAGCTGATTTCTAACAACCCCACTGGTCACTGAGGACTCAGGCTGACTTCCCTGCCATGGGTAAGAAGCCAGCCTGCTAATGAGGTTATCTGAGTTGGGGCCCCTAGCCTCTTGAGCTCCTATTTATTTACACAGCTAGCTGCAGGCAGGCGAGAGAGCAATTCATTCTCCTTATCTGTAAAGTGTCAGCACCTTTTCCAGATTTGTTTGCAAAGCGGAATTCTCTTTTCCCTTCCAGAATACATTTGGTTTTGGGTTTAGGTTTAGGGGTCTCATTCATTCTGCAACTTAAGGGGATTTTTTTGCCCAGAAGTCCTGCTGAAAGACTCTTGCTGTCCTCATTAATCTTGATGATGACTATCATTTATTTCTGGTTCCTTTGAAGTCAGAGTTTGACTCCTGGCTGCAAACTGGAAGCTGGGTCTTAGAAGAAGAGCTAGGAAGCGACAGAAGAGACACCAGCTGAGCTAACAGGGCTGTTGCTCAGTTTATTAGGTTAGGTTTGGTTTCCAGAAAGGAAGGACAACCCTCTCCACCCCTCCTTCCCTTGCTGTAACTCGTACTCTTGGAGATGTATCAGTGTCAAATGCTGGATGGGCTTCTTACCACACTTAGCTCTATTTTCCCATCAAGAGCCACTTCCAGGCCAACAGTGAAGGACTATGGTCTCCTTAACCACTTCCCTTACCACCTTATGGCACCTTTGTGCCTCATTTGCATTGGTGTTGCCCAGCTAAGTAACCTTCTGCCTTTCTTCTGTTCATCAGCTCTCTCCACTCCCCACAACACAATACTGAGAGATCTCAGTTGATCTGCTTATCCTTTGAAATTTTCAAAATTTGATGTGTGTGTGTGTGGGCAGGAACATCTTTCTCATAATTTTAGTCAATTTCTCAAAAGGAGTCACAAATCAAACTCCACTGAGAGAACCCCTTGAGCCAGTGTGGTGGCACACACCTGTAATCCCAGCACTAAGGGGGCTGAGGCAAGAGGATCACAAGTTCAAGGCCAGCCTGGGGTATGTAGGGCGACTCTCAGAAAGGAAATAAAAT